TTTTCCATTCTTATCTCCGAGTCTTATCCCTTTTCGTAGTTACTCGAGTGTGACGCCTACAAGAGGGGATCCGCTTTAAAAAAAAATTTTTTTTTATTTTTTTCCATACGGCAATAGTACAGCAATATTATGATTGGACTTATACGGGACTTAACGCCACACTTATCTCTCTTAAATAAGAAGCCCGACGGAGAAGCGAATACGTGGCGTTACAAGCCTCGTCGGTCCTCGCGAGCCTCATCATCCCCGGGCGCTCATGGATATACAAAATACGAAATAGAAAATAGACCGCAAGACGGGATGATGTATCAGATGACGTACCTTGTGCGCCTTCAAGGATGCCTCGTTGCAGGCCAGCGTCACGTCGACGAAGGCCTCCGTCTGCAGGAGTTGATGGAACACCGACGTCATATTCGACTGGTAGTTGTTCCAGCGCAGGCAGTAGTGCTGCCCGGCCATCCCTCCGCTGTAACACAAATATCAAGAGAGGATATGAAAAGCTGAGCTTTCGCGCCGCCACCATCACGACCACCACCACGACTACCACCACCACCACCACCACCACCACCACCACCACCACCACCACCACCACCATCGCCTTCCCCCGCCTCCCCGAGCTCGACCATGCACAGGAGCGAACAGGCCCCGTGCTCGGTAACATGCTCGGAACCGTTCGTTCGGGTCGCCGAGGCATTGAGGGTAGAGGATGCGCCAAAGTGGTCGAGGGTTGTTACGCACGCGGGTTGGATAATAGTGGAGCATTGGGTCGTCGGCGTCTTGGTCTTCCGTCTTTAATTTCACTTGGCTTCCTAGTCGGCTGCTATCAACCTCGTGCTCACGCACACGCACGCGCAACTTTACGAATTTTGAGAGGGCCGTCGCCGTCGTCGTTGAACGTCGTCGTCGTCGTCGCGTCGTCGTCGTCGTCGTCGTCGTCGTCGTTGTCCTTGTCGTCTTTGACAATCAATCAACCGAGAAAACTGAAAGCGCAACTCGCCTCGTTTTCAAAACTAACCATTCCTAATTATTATCTATCGGGTAAAAATTACTGGGAGGAAGAGGAAGAAAATAGTTTGCCCATCATCGATTTCCGTCTTTAAATCGCTCGGATTGGCCTTCGTTTTTCGCTCTACGTACAAATACAGATTGCGTGCATCGATGTTGTAAGGACGTTTGGGAAGGATGAGGCGGAGTGGGCGAAAGGTCGCGTGGCTACAACATCGGTGAATTCGCTACTCGGTGACTTTTGTCGAATCCGTCGGATAATTTGCGGAGGCGTGCGCTAATAGCCTGAGCACGCTCACCAGGTTTTATGGAATGTTTTGGAGCGTATTGTCGGAGCGGAGGCCGACCTCGCGTGGAGGGACGACGAATGGGGTGACGGGAGGTTAGCCTCGACCCAATTTTCACGAGTTGGCACGTGAATAGCAACGTGCGCCACTCGGCACCGAGGGGAGGCGAATGTATATCGCGCTCGAGGTGTTGAGCCGCGAGTTAAGCCGTGACTCCTGGTGGCGAGCCGCCAAGGGACGCATCGATACGCGTCGGGGATGATTCGGCGACTCGGAGCTCGGGCTGTTTAATCGGTAAATGTGGGCGAATATGGGGTGGAATAGGAGGGCACTCTCCTCTCGACCCACCACTCGATAAAATGTTTGATAGTAGCACGTAGCCGCCGACTCTTGGCGATTTTCATAACGTTGCCGGATCGATCGAATCCGTCGTTTTAGCAATCGGTCCCCGTCAGTCCCGGGTCGGTCCCCGTCAATCACCGGGCTAATTCGGCACTTATGCCATTATATGATGCTTTGCGCGACTCTCAGCGAGTGTCGGCGAACGGTAGTTTGACTCGGCAGGGAAATCGTCAACGACGATCCACCGGTGGCTTACTCTCCTCCTTCGATAACATATCGCCGTCTTTATCAGCCTCGATCTATTCCAAGTCTTTATAATACGCGAGTGAGCTCGTTTTTTCACGTTATCTGGCTGTTCGTAGAGTGGCGCTCGTTTTTATCAGGTGCTTAGATGCCTCGGCTGAGCGATCCGATAACAGGAAACGTTTCTTCTTCTGTTTCGTTTTCCCAAAGTTCTCTCTCCCCCCCCTCCCCACCTTCCAC